GCACTAAATTATCAGTACTAATATACACATATAACTCCAACAGTGAAACTATCTGTCAGGTACTGTTCAATGCTGTGAATTTTATAATTAAATCTCCATGTCTAGAAAAAGTACTTGCCTACAGATTATCAACAGAAGCAAATTATGGACCATGTTCATTAAATATATACATCTTTTTTCAGTAAGTACTAGTAAGAGATAAAAGAATAATATTTGTACTTGAATGTAAATATAGGCACTGGCTACACTTTGGTTACCATCTCTCCTGCGAAGTCAGACAGAGAGGTGCTGTACTGTTAACATCATCTCACTTTCTGATATGTTCACCATGTGAGCTTAGAAAATCTTAGTTATATTTAGGGTGGTTTCTTGCTGCGCTTGTCAAAGGTGCCTCAGATCCTAATGATGTCGATATTTATCCTGGTCATGTTCTCAAAGGACTTCAAAGTACTCAACACCATCCATTTCAAATGGAGATATTTGACTCCTTCAGAAATACCTTTAACGTTTATCTGGCTACATTCATCTCAGGATCCCAGTGCTTTATGAACACTACTGAACATAGCATGGTTCTTTGTTAGGGTATGAAGGTATGGACAAATCAACCAAATCCATCAACATCTCACACAGGGGTTCCCTTATGAAAGGCCAAGAAGGGCTTTCTTCTGCTCTAGCCAGAAGACCAGAGTTTTGGCAACTGTTACAGTTAAATAGCTAATAATAAATGACCACTTCATTCATTCTGCACTGCCAGTTAGTAAAACAAGTCTCCTGTCTCTCTCTTGTATTTCTCTCTGAGCAGGTTTCAAAACTGGGATCCAGAGCCACGTATTCTGCACCCCCATGGGAAGAGGAGCATTTCCAAGACTGCTGTGCTCAGAAGTCATGAGCAGGGTGGGCACCTGAACAGGCTGAGGAAAAGAAGTTCTTGCCAAGTCTCCATTCTTCAACAGGAGCATTGGATTTTTTGTTATTGGTGGTAAATCGATCAGCAAGAAGCCAAATGTTTAATCAAATAGCTAAAATATATTTCAGACGTGGAGGTACTCTTTGTTTTCTCCTTACTTTGAACCCTTTTCCTGACCTTCCTGAAACTTCCCTTTCTCCTACAATGTCTGTCTCACTCTGTTCCCACTACACCTCTCACAGTAACCAGTTGTTCTATTTGTGAAAGATATTTTCATTTTATATTGATACACCTAGGAGAGCTGTTGCCCAGATGGAAAGCTACAGAAGTATTTGCTGGGCACAGTTTCGTGGAGGCCTTTGTACCCCAGTATTTTTTGTATGCACCCAGAGTTTTCCTCTTTCCTCTCAACCAACCCAAAATCAGAAGAAGGGAATATATCTGGGAAAAAAACAAAACAAAATAAAACATGAAACTCTGTAAATTAATTTTAAGCCAAAGCCCCTATTCTGTCACCAAAGTATAGGCAACAACACTGGCAACTACTGTAACTGGGTCTGCACTGAGTAGTTCAAGGGAGTCAAGCTCTCTCTGGGCTAATAACCACAGAAGCTGAGACATTTTTTTTTGCAGCTGAAGTACTCTTATGGAAGCCTAAAACAGCAACACAAACTTTTGCTTTTTCTCTCTCCACTTTAAAAATATTTATTTTATTACCCGTTTAGAGCTCTCCAGGGCACTTTTCTGCTTTCTAACCAGATTTCAGTGGCATGCCACCCTCAGCACAACGTGGCATGTGTCATCCTCGTAACAGACCTCCTTGCATTTCTATTCCTTTTAGGTCATCTACAACACAATAACAAAAAAAAAAAAAAAAAAAATCCAAATATGATATGAGATTGCAAAACACCCAAAAGGACTTTGTTTAGACTCAAGAACACTTCCCAAGATCCAAAGGGCATTTCTGAAACTACAGGAGAAACTCCTCTCTGTTACAAAATCTGGGTATATTTTCACACATTCCCTGACTGATTCATGGAATAGTCACTAAGTTGATGGAATAGCCTTGACAGATTTGAAAAGATTATACCAATTTTGTTAACTAAAACACTGGAAACACGTTAAAATTATATAAACTATTAGGTTTTGGAAAATATAAAGTTATTTAAGCCTAAAACAGATTGTATTTTCTATTACAATTTAGTACATTAAGAAACAGTTGACTCCTTTTCTTCTTTACAATAAGCCCTGGGCTAAAAAACTATTCTTCTCCCATCCAACTTCTCCACATTGTTTCCTCACAACAACAGTTATCCTTCTCTCAGCAGTGTGTGTTAACCTTAATGCAAAGCATCTCACTGAGAAGCAATGCACTGATGTCTTTGGTGGAATGTGGTACTCAGCATATGCAGTACTCAGACACGCTATGGATAGTGTACATACAAGACATCTCTAAATTTGCTCATTTCGGTAGTGTAAATCAGCAACATTCAGAACAGATTGAAAGCATTCATTACAGAAAATTTTTGTAGATCTTCCATGAACTCCAGTAGTGTTTAACTATTGCAGCAATACAATTCTCTGTCTACCTAAACTTATGGGAACATGTTCTTCATTCTATCACAAACCAGGCTAACCTTAAAAGTCAGTATTTTTTGCATGATTTACTTCACCACAGCTGTGCTCCAACCACATTAGTGTTCAACGTACAGCCAGCCAGCCAGCTGTGCTATTGCTCTGTCAGCAACACAGTCTTTTAAACCCAACACACTAAAATGGCTGTTTAAAGATGTGTCAAATTATTCAGTGATGATTAGAATACTGAATGGGAGTGGCTGTTTGCTGGTTAATGATGGGCAAGAGATATCATTTCCTACTCATGAAAAGAAATGAATTTTTTAGGACTTTCATTGTTGTACTACTGCATCCTAATTTACAGCACAGAGCACTGCATGAAAAAAAAAAAAAAAAAAAAAAAAAAACAACTAAAAAACAAAACATAACTGGGCTGAATTCCATCGTCCTTTGTCAGGCAAAAGTCATCGTTCAATTAAGGAGAGCAGAATTTGGCACACAGATCTTGAGCATTTGTCTCATATAGAATGACGTATGGTTTTCTAAAAAAAGAATATTTGAAACTAACCAATTTTATTTCAGCTTCCCGTCTTGTAAACAAGTGGAAGTATGAATGTTTATATCCCTTCTATAATTCCCACTTCTAATGCAACTATAAATATTGTGTAGAGATGTATAAAAGTTTAAGACTTTTTGGACTCCTGTTTACCATCTGTCTGAAATGATATCTTGGGGCAAAGCATGACAGAGGTTAATTATGCATTGCAAAAATATGTTGGTTTGTTTTTTTTTTTTTTTTTATTCAGCTTCATGTTCAACTGACTGAATGCTCTCTTGCTGTCAGCATCTAGGAACTGTGAATATGAAGGAGTAAGAGAGACCACATGAAATCATCCAGATTAATCTATCTCTCAGAGGTATATAAATACCACTTACCTTCAACTCCATAGTCTGTTACTTTTCAGTTTTAAGTTATATACAGTGAACTAACACCACTCACTAAAATTTTTTTCTAAAAAAACTTGAGGCATTTTCTTTAATTCAATAAGCATTAAATATTGCCTATTAAGCTTATTACTGCAAAAGTGGGCCATTAAACTAGCCAATTTCACTTATCTTGACAACATCAACAGTGCCATTCTATGAGTCCTGACTGTCATTAAGCATAATGTCATCTTCTGATTTTGATATCTTTAAAGTCGTTACTACAACTCTTGCTAAGGGACAAATTCCTGCTACGTGCAGAGACACCCAGAAAATTTTTGCTGGCTTTTCTACAAAGGAATTCCAGAAGGACAGGGCTGTCTTCAACAAGAATAAAAACACTTCCCCAAAAAATGTCTGATGAGAAAGAAAATAAGACAAAACCAACAGCCTATGAGCTTAAACAGCCCCACTTCAATGTTTAAATGGCCTTTGGATCAAAGCTGATTTGCTGGGTCAAAGCCCACTGAACACCAAGGAGGTGCTAGCTTTTCTTATTTATCTAACAAGATAAACAAGTCCTGAGTTACTAGAAAAGGTTGAGCTGATTTCCCCATACATTTGTACTGAAGCAAAATGAAGTCTGCGACAAATCACAGCTCCTGCAGGAGAAAGTTTCATAGTCTGATGCCCTTTATTAAGTCAGACCAATACACATATCCAGAACTTTATCCTCAAGAAGGATGACTTCATCACTCAGAGCATTTTCAGCTTTTCACTATCAAATCTGATCTGCCTTCCAACAGCCACTCTGAGCAATGCACAAAGAATTGTGTACAGCAGTCACTTCTGATGAAATTCACTGCTACCTAGTTTCTGATGATGTATATACATTCCTCTACTTCATTCTTAAGTTTTCCAAGGAATCTATGAATTCAGTTTTTAGGTGATGGCCATAATCAAAATTTTGGATTATAAACATGGATGAAGGGAATATAAAAATCCAAATATTTTGGTCAAGGTTTGGAAGCACTGCTGTAGCTTTTCCAGTAAAATTTGTTTGCCTTATTCTTTAGCTGTTGCTTGTAAATCAGTCTGTCCTCCTGGGGAAAGCACCTATTTTCATACAAAAATTCTGTTTAGTCAAAAAATACATTTGCAATGAGAGTGCTCAAGTGTAATTTTCCATCAACCATAATACTAGCAAGTATTATGAGGCTGAAATTTAAAGTCCTGTTAGTATGTACATTTTATAGATTGTTCTTTTTCATTCTACTCTCTAAACCTCTTTTACATGAAAGGATGCACCTCAAGGATATAGCTGATGTAGGGAAGCATAAACCAAGAATCATGTACAGTCAAGGCTAAATCAGTCCTTAGCTCATAAAAGGTTTGTTATTGAAGCTGTTATGGTCTATCAGGAAAGGAAATCTTGAACACAAAATGAGGTACAGTACTTCAGCACAAAAATGAGAATTGTTTGCTTGAGTCTTACCCCTGCATTTCCCAAGTTTAATCAGACCCTTAGTGTTAGTTTAGTGTATTTTTCCTCTGGATTCCTTTTTTAGTGCTTAAAAATAGAGATGAATAAACATTTATAACAGATATTTTCTTTAAATTAAATCTGCTGGTGAAGAGTACAAGGCAACATTCCGATGGATATCAGTACAGCAAAACTCCAATTTTCCCCCAGGTTCAGCAGAGCTTCATAGGAGCAATCATTTTGCCAAAGGTGAGGTCTCCTCATGAAGATTACCACTTTGAAGAACGGATTCCACTCATCTGTAAGCCCCAAAACCAAGTTCATACCATTAACCTTATTGTATCAGTACTATAATCATACAGGCTTCTGAATCAAACATTACCAAAGCAGTTCTTATGCTATGGTATCATGATGGTATCCTTCCTATCAGCCTCACAGGGAGTAGTATTGGTGTCATAAGAGATGTCTTTATCTAGGAAAAAAAAAAAAATTAATAACCAAGCCACTGAATCACCAAATATGCTGAATATTTCACAGACAAAAAATTGCTCCAGGCAAGTCCTAGCTTCCTTCCTATGTTATATTTCTTCCAAAATGACTGAAAAAATATGTTTCTTTTCTGGTTAGAGTATATATCTTTATTGAGGGTCTCCAACCCCCTGCGCACTGCCTGTAAATCTGACAGCTCCAGCCACACACTGAGGCACAGTGGAGGGCAGGGCTTGCTATCACTACATGTTTATACTCCCAGACTCAAATTAGGTAGGACTTTGGATTTAGTAATTAACTGCCCTTGATCAGTGATCCAGGAATATAAATACATGCATCAGTCAATTAGAGTTTATATAGTCAAGAATTTACCCTTAGCTCTACCTAAATTACAATATATCTGAATCAAGCATGCAAGGTAAAGTAGTTTGTATACTGTTGGCAGACTCATTTTTTACAAAACACTTAATCACAGCATCTAAAGATCAGCTGCATGATTTAGTATGTCAAATACCACCTTCAACAGCAAAAAAAAATTATAACATACTTCAGTGAGCAGTGAAAGTAATGAGAAAGGACAATATTTTGTTATAATGACAAGCCCATTTTTTGTATGCACCTTTCTTAGCTGGAACAATGTCTCAATGAACAGTAATCGATGTGAAGTCATTCCAGGATAGCTTTCTATCCTGCATCAAATGAAATACATAAAGACTCATGGAGTGTTTCCACATGTGCTTTGAGTGATAGTAGTTTTTACAGAACTACCTAGAATCCTGGCACTCAGAAGAAGTTTATCCAAAGACTGTAACAATAAGACTGTCTGGTTTATCTTATTTCATACTAGATTGGGGAAAAATTAAAAAAAAAGGCAAAGAACAAAACAACACCAAACCAGCATGATTCATGTTCTCTACTCTTGCACTAAATCACAGTTTTTCCTACATTTTCTTGATTCTCAGGCAATAAATATTTCTCAGTGCTTTCCCACACACACACTACAGATAAGTTAAAAACTGAGCCCTTATCTACATCTGGAGTCTGGCCTTCAGATCAATGCTGATGTACAGCTTGCTAAACAACAAAATGTACAAATTCTTCATTTCTTTATGACTTTCATGGTACAGTACAAGTAAATCTAAAGCTTCACAGTGATGCATGTGTGTTCAAAACGTGGGTAACCACTGCCATGGATCATTGTAATTCCCTACAGGCACACCTATACTGAGCCCTGTCACTTGATTTATGCAGAAGTTTTACCCTTGGATGAATACATAAACAGATTTTTTTCAAGCAAACGTCAAGAGACCAATGCCTAAGGCAAGGAAATAATGAGACATCCAAAAGTCATCTACGGAAGCCCCACTACCCTCAGGTTCAAGAGGAAGCCCCTTCCAGCAAAACCTAGGGAAGTCAACTTTGCAGATGTTTGTGATGGCTGCTGTGACCCTGAGCATATAAGGACAGTAAGCAGAGGTTTTTCAGTATTATTTAACAACATGAATACAACCTTCCTAACTTACCCTGTCATCTGACCAAATGTTGAAGGTTCATATGAATAAATAAACAAAATGTGTAAATTCTTCCAGAACCTTCTAGGCAATGAGCTGACATTGGAGATTCAAATGAGGCAGGAGATGCAGTTCTACCTACTGTTTTGTTATGTAGCTGCAAATAATAAAAACCTGCTGAGTGCAATAGACATTTTGCCTGTGGATCCTCAAAACAAAGAGAGAAATAGAATTCATAAAACTGCAGATTTTAAAGCCAAAAAAATGCTTTAATGATCTAGGCCAATACAAACAAAATGCTTTTAGGAAATATTTTGCCTCCTTTTTAAGGTTTCAGGAAGTAGAGCAGTATCATACTTCCAGTGCTACTCTTCTGAAACACTGAATTGTCTTTATACAAAGGAGCTTCTTTGAAAGTGGAAGTTTCTAACTTCAGTCTACATTTCCTGGATTTTGATGGAGGTAGGAATGGAGAAGAAAGGAATGCTTTCTGGCTTGGAGGCCCATTGGTGGTGACTGAGATAATATTCTCAGCAATTGTATAGTTTCCTTTCTTTTTGGTCAGGTCACAGGCATTATTGAATGTTGGGTTTGCAGGGGGTTGGTTTTTTTGTTTGATGGATTTTTTTTTTTTTAATATTAACCAGCTGTATTTTTTTTAACATCCTCAAGGTTTTGTGGCTGAAGAAAAGTAGTTTGGAATAACAAAAGTATATCCTTACTGAGACCCTTTAAAAGATTTAAGTATATGCTGTCAAAGACTGTAGATTTGAAAATGCTTAATTTTAATATATAATGCCTCACAGCTCCCTTTGCTACAATTGGTAACCTACCTGTCACACCATACATGATGGAGTTATCACCCTGCTCAGAATAGAGTTGGCTATTGAACCACTTGCCTTTCTGCATGATTATTTATAACTGACTTTTAATAATAGCTATGCCTCTGACTGAAGCTCTTTTACTCCTCAGACATATCAGAGAATCTTTGTGTGGTTTTTAACCAAAGTAACCAATAATAATTGATTATTTCTTTAAACAATTTCTTCACCTGTCTATATGATTAACATTTACTATATATTCTGTTGCATTTATCATTTGCTGTCCATATTTATGTAATACAAACAACTAGATCTCCTTTAAGTAGAATGGATTGTTACCCAGAGTAACTTCCCATTCCCTGACTCTTTGGACTGCTTTGGATTGTCTCTACAAGGAATCTGTATGCAGTTTTATAACTTGGGGTTTCCCCATTTTTTCCAAAAGCACACCTAAAAGAAAAAAAAAAAAAATTCCCCAAAGCAGTGGTATCACCTGACACAAAGCAGGAGTGGCCTCTTCCAGCATCAGTCAACCAGACCACTTGGGTGCTTCATTTCACCTCAATGCAAATGAGAGGAAGGACACCAACAGCAAAGACCACAGTATGTGTTTCATCTAAAACTTACCAGCAAAGCACAGCTCCTCTGAGACTCTGATGTTTTGCTAATCCATACAACACACATCAAGGCAGTGTGACTATAGGAGATAAAGGAAAGGATGCATACATTTAATCCTTATAATCAGAAAGGATATAAAGAACATTTCTCTTAGTTTGCTCTCAGACTTCTCTGGAATGCTTAATAGCTTCTGTCTGGCAGACGTACTAACTTTAAAATTACTGAGACAGATCTGACATTCATGTATAAAAAGATGATATTCTACCAAGGCAACTCTATCAGAATAAACAGCTGTAATGGAAATAAAAACCCTTCGTATTGACTTCAGTAATGGATAATTTGGCTGTCTAAAATTGCTGTATTCAATCTTTGTACAGCTTCTTACTTCTATTTGCTAGGGTAAAGAAGCAATGAAAAGAAGTATTATTATACAGAAAATCTCAGTTTAAAGTATATAAGGAAGTACTTCATTTTGTGGCATAAGTGCGTTGCAAAGCCATAGCATGTGAAAGGGAGGCAAGTTGTTTTGTGCTGCTGCCTGGCTAAACTTACATCAGATAGCAGTGAGTGTATGTGCCACACATGCCTGGGGCTAATGGCTATAACTCCCTGAGAGCCCCAGTACCTCTGTATCTTCCTAGCATTGACTTTCCATGACAGACGTCTGTTCTTGGAAGGATACTTACATGGCATGTAAAGCTATCAGTCTTAATACTAAGCATGGGCATTTGGAGAAGGCAAAAAACATTCAAACTCCAAGCTGAATAGAAAACAACTTAGGGAACGCTTGAGGAAAAAAAAAAAAAAAAAAAACGTTAAAAGGTATGATTTTTGTGAACAATGAAATCCAGTGAGCAAGTCCCTTGATTCATAAGTCACATTTAATAGCTCTGTTAACCTATGTCAAAGTGACATAACAATAATTCAGGAAATATTTTGGAGCTTTTGCATCAATTGTACACTAGCCACAAGCAATGAAACCAGAAAACCAAAAGTATATCCATTTTTATGATGATGAACATCATTTTACAACCATTAATAGCTCCACCAGTGCCTATGGACTTTGAACAGTTGTTTAATAATTTTAAAATAGTTCAAATAACCTCTCTGAGACATATCACCCTCTTAATCTTATACATTTTTATTTGCTGCAAGAGCCATGCACACAGACACACAGATATGCACAGAGTAAGCAAAAAGTGTGAAGAAAAAAATAAACTGGTTCTTCTTGCTTAAATAAGGACATTGCGTTGTCCTGAGCTAAACTTTTACCTTTAGTTTGTCATAGGTGACGATATTTATTCTGTATAGGTGACAAGCAGTAATCAAAGAGTCAACAGTAAATACAAAATGTGTTATTTTCTGGAAGGATACAATCAACAGACTTCAATTTTGGTACCAAAAGTGATTATTTTGCACATATAATTCCAATTATTTTGATCCTGATTCTGCCTTTATATTCTGTTGTAAGAAACTTTCCAGCAAATTTCATGGCTGTAACACTTGAAGATCAGTTGCTTATGTGGTTATATTTTGATTGTTTTCTTAGTAACATGGAATATTTCAACTAATTAAGGAAATTAATATGTAACCTGTTTTCTACTAACGGAAGCAAAAGGGAACCCACCCTCTTATCTCTGAACCCAAATGTAATCAGTCTAAAGGAATACAAATGATTCTGGAAGGAAGTTTTGTAAATTTTGTATTGCATAGCATCCTGTACTTTTTAAAATTAGTTTCTTTTAATAACCACAAGAATGTACACAAAGTGGTACTATGAATCATACCAAGCATGGAACATTTGGTAGGAGTTCCATTATAACCATTCTAAAAATGGTTATAAATCTAAAAGCTATTTGGTCAAAACACAATACAACACTGTCTTCTCACTATACAGGGCATATCACTCTTGTAAAGGTAACAGCAAGTTATAGAGATAACTTGTTGAAAAGATAGACTAATGCTTACACTTTAGAAAGGGAACTGCCTGTATAAAAGGATACTGAACAGATAGCAACCATAGAAACAACAGTGATGCTTATGGTATATTTTATGAGCTGAAATATATGTCATCTGGCTTTCTCAAATCCATCTTTTTTGGCTAAAAAAAAAAAAAGGTAAAAAAATTCAAGTATTAAATGTAGAAATATACATATAATATATTTAAAAAACAGTATAACTCATGTTTCAACTGAAATAGGAAAATTTCTGTTGTTGCCAAAACATCAAATGATCTTACTTATTTTACAAGTTTACCTGCAGATACTTTGACTCTAAAAAGCAAGCCTTCATATAGTTGCCTGAAACCTTGGCTATATAAATGATAAAATGTTTTATATATGTCATGGCTTAACCCAGCAGGCAGCTAAACACCATACAGCCATTCACTCACTCCCCTGCCCTGCAGTGGGGTGTGGGAGAGAATCAGAAAAAAAGTAGAATTCGTGGGTTGAGACAAAGACAGTTTAATAGGACAGAAGAGGAAGGGGGGGGAGGGGGGGGGGAGGAGGAGGGAAGAAAAATTAGAATATACAAAACAAGTGCTGCACAATGCAATTACTCACCACCTGCCAACCAATAACCAGCCTGTTACCGAGCAGCGGCCCTCAACCAGCTTTCCCCCTAGTTTATATACTGAGCATGACATCATATGGTATGGAATACCCCTTTGGCCAGTTTAGGTTGGCTGTCCTGGTTGTGTCTTCTCCCAGATTCTTCCTTTCTGCAGAGAAATAAAAAAGAAACCTCTTCACTCTGATAAATAGATAAAATAGATCCCTAAGAAAAAGATGATATAAGAATCAAGTTAACATTCAAAAGATGTTCCAAGAGCTTTCCTATTCCAGAGATGAAAGCAATTATACCTTCACTGCATTAGCAACACTGAATATGCATTTTTATGACCTGTCCTCTGCTCTCTGCATTGATTTCAGATAAAATTCACAAGGCACAAAGTTGTTATTATCTGGAATAGTCTGTTAGACAACACGGATGACCCCCTTCATATCTCACAGATTTATGGAAGAAGAAATCATCCATGTGTAGCTACTTATAAACAGTAATGATAAATGAGAATCTAATGAAAAACATGAACAAACAGATTGTCAAATAGTACTGCTCTGATCTAAAATACCTTCAGTTACCTTATGGGTAAAATTTCTATTACTGCAGTTCTCAGAGTTTCCAGTGTTGTGAATCTATGATGCTTGTATGGTCAAGCAATATAGTGCCTAGTCTAAAAAATTTCAAATGAAGGCCACCAGAAGCCACCAGAAGTTTATGCAAATCCAACAGAGAACAGATAGCCGTAAGCCAGTACAACCTTGTTTTTTGATCCTGTGTGCTGAAAAAGAAAGATTTTGTTTCCCAGCATTGATACCTTGAAATATCAAGTATCCATCTAATTAAGATTTTTTTAATATTTAGGACTGACATTAAGATGCTGATAGGTAATGTTAACAGTTAAAAAAAAAAAAAAAAAAAAAAAAAAAAGACCCAACAACAACAAAGAAGCCAAACTGAACAAACACAAAACCCACACATGCACACTAATTAATTAGAAGTGTCCAACCACCACTAGAGACCTTCCAGAGCTGAGGATTCTACTCCACCCTGGCAAGCCATTGCAATGGATAGTCACTTTTTAATAAGAATATTCACTTATTTCAAGTTTGAATATTTTTTCTTTCACAAGTCAGATACTGCACATCTCTTAACAAAGTTTGTTCTTACTGTTATAAATAGACTTTTCAGCCCTTAATTTTCTCTTTGATAAGTTAAATAGACTGAGATTCTTCAGAAATTCATTAAAGGCCTATTTTCCAGTCATTCTCTTGCTCTTTGTTTCTTCTCTGAACCTTCTCCAATGCTTTTTTTTATTTTTCTGTAAATTATGGACTTCAGAACTGAATGTAGCATTCTTTCAGTAATCTCATCAACACCAAATACAAAGGCAGTATAGATATTAGCAAGAACATATAGTGTCAGTGTCAAAACACATAGTCTTGACATTGTTTCTCAAGCTCACGAATAGATTGTCAGTGGAAGATGTACCATGAAAAAACAATTTGACATTCTTCCCATGACAATTATTTTGCAGAATTTCTCCCTAGGTTTCAGTTCTCTCAGCACAACCTTCCCATTCTGCTGTACTCCCAATGTGGTATTCAACCCTACAAGTTGTCACTGACATCCTCTAGAGCACATTTTTAAAAAAACATGTTCTTTTTTCCCTCTTTCATTCTTTCTCCTTGTTTTTCAGGAAAAGTTCATCTTCAGGGAGGAGTTTTAGCAGGGTCTAAGTGAAAATACTGATTAAAAAGCAACCTTAAAAATTTGATCATTCTTAATTACTTTATAGCAGCTGCTTGCTGTCCCTGATTTGAATCAAATGGACCCAAGTGAAATGCTCTGTGGATTGAGTCACTTGAACAAGGAGCTATGAAAATTGGTGAGGCAGATGGTAGAGGTGACACTGTGAATGGACAGTGAGAGACAGATCACCAAGAGCAACTTGTGACTGTTAGGCTCAGAATGCCCACAATAAAGGAGATACTTCAGGAACAACTTGGTCACTTTATTTGGTCAGATACAGCCTAGGTGTTCCCCAGTAAGGAGGACACGTCATGCCTACATGACATGTTTGGTGCAGGAGAGTGGGCCGAGTCACCAGCAGCGTGAGTTTGCAGGTGAGGTGTGCAAGTGTAAGGACAGCCAGCAAAGGACCACCCGAGGCATCTGCTGATGCGGCCACAAGGCCTGGCCGTCTAGTCACCCAGTCAAAACTGCACCCTTCCAAATGCACCAAAGAGCACTCACATGTTCTGATGAGAGCGGTACAGCTGATTCGAAGGCTGTGCTTGTCCTGGTGGCCAGCACTTTCGATGCTGGGGCTCTGTGAGATCAGACAGACACACAGACTGGGCTACCCATCGCAAGCAGCAGCAACTATGTTTTGGCCAAATGTACTCTTCAGCAGCTAGCTTGGTACGATGGAGCAGTTATGGGTCTCCTGCAGGGAAGATCACAGCTTTTGAGGAAACATATGATCCTAATAAGCAGACACTAATGCTCTTACTCTTCTCTTATTAACTATATTTTACTAGAAATAAACCCTGGATTACTTTTGAGAGAGCGCTTTTTTCCTACATGCATTCTCTAGTGATAATGACACAACATGAAGACAATCTGTGCAATATCCAGTATTGCTCTACCCCAATGACCTGTGCAAGAATTAAAATGGCATTAATACTCTCTTTTTCCAGATGTAGACTGCAGTTCCTTAGGATCTTTTAATTACCTTTAATTACATTTTTTAAAAATACTTAAAATCTCTGTAAGAGAGAAAACTGCACTTAGCTCAAGTACTCAGTGTGTCTTTTATAGATTTATTTCTTTTTAAACCTAGACTTTTTTCATTCAGCAATTCCAATTATCTTTCTAATTTAGAATTTTCACATGATTATTAAGTTAATAGCAAGAAATTCACATACACTGTTTATATAACATCTTTGAATTTAGTTTGGTGGCACTTTAACCCTTAATGGGTGTTTGCAAGCAAAGATAGTAAGGGTCAAATATTTATTAATTCCCTCTATGTATGGGAGACAACAGCTTGTAGCCACTCCCTGAAATGTAAGGGAAAATGTCAAAACCTCCTACAAGCTGTATCTTCCTGGGTATGAAAGTCATTGTATGAAGCAAAAGCCACATGAAAAAAAAAGAAAAATGACATCAATTCAGGGAATTAAATACTAATAAATCACAGGGATGTTTGCAAAACCAGACAAAACAAAACAAAACAAAAAATCAAAAACAGAAACAAAAAAGCAACAAATAAAAAACCACAACCAAAAAAACCCAAAACACACTCTTCCACAGTTTAAGTGTTTGGAGTCTTTTGACTCAGTTTCCCCATCTGTTTATGTGCATATCCAATATTAATGACCTCTGGTCCGCTGGTTCCTTCCCACTTTACAGAGACCCCCTGAACACTGTCCATGGTCAGTGAAGCTACAGACCCTGGCACAGCCTTACACGTCCCCCCTAACTCCGCAGGAGACTCACTGTCATGAAGAGGTGCCTGTTACTTTGCCTCATGCCTGGCTGTATCGCTGCTCTTATGCACTGTCCTCTTCACTTGCTTTAGATAAGCCTTCATGGTCCTCTGCCTTTAATACAGCCCTGGAAAGAGATTTTCATGCTCTCAAAATGTCTAACAAGCATTGCTTTACAAGCATTATTATCTCTGTGTCAGGTCTTTCAACTCTTATTGCAATTTACTATAAATTTCAATCTGACCAAAGCCCCAGAGCTCCATTCTCTGCATCACCGGGGCACCTGAACACCCACACCCAGCGGCCAGTGGCTGACGTTTGGTTATGCAGAAACTTCACTATCCCTGCATCAAATTCAATTCATTTGTTGTTTATTCAGTCAGCAAGGATAACAACACCTCATTACCTCTATAAACAGAGATTTAAAAATAGTATTAACAAGTCTGGCCAAGGCGCTTGCAGAGGCGCAGCGGCTGCGAGCCGTGCCAAGGCGTCTGACTGGGGCTGTCCCTTCCGCCGCTTTATCAATAGATGGCAGCAAGAAGCTCCTTCTCTCCTGTGCATCGAAGGAAGATACACCCCGGTAAGAACACAGTACAAACTTTCCAGTAGAGCTCAGATACTAGATGTTAACAGCCACATGTTGTGGCTCGTTCAGGAATGGCTTGGTATACTCTTCAGCGACGCAGAAGCATGGAGATGGCCCTTTAGTGAAGTGTCTTAACATGTTTGCAGTACATTGAGAACATGTCAACAACAGGAGCTAAAATACATTTGCCACTTGTTTCCACTTATATCTTAACTGGCTTGGGTTAAAATCCTAAAACTAAGTTTAACAACCAGTGAAAGCACTAGCTAAACCAGGTCAGGATGTCATCTGTACCAAAACAAAGGCTGCAGAGGTTGTAACTCATGGGCAGTGAGATTTTGATAACAGCCCTCTACACAATTTTACTAGTTTGCAAGCAAGACACAATTTACATTACATGAAAATTTGGATGTGTATTATTTTTTTTTTTTCCCTAGCAAAGATGAGTCCTCCAGGAGTCTCTCAAAACTACAGCATCCTTCCTTCTTGGGCTCAATTTGACTTTTTTCTGGACCAAGCTTCCAACTCCCCGTTTTTTCCGGTTCCTCTACTAAGAATAATACTTTTTTTGTTCTCAGAATATCTCTTTACTCTCAAATGAGATTTTCTCTCACACACACCCCTTGTGCACAATTCTTTTTTTCTTTCTGTTTTCCCTTTCTTCATTTCTCATGCCCTTGGAGTGAAAAATCTTCACATAAAAGCACCTCTTTCCAGTCCCACTTGTAAATTCACTGGGTTTGACAGGTTATTGAAACTGGGCAACTGAACCTGTGACCTCTGAAGGATGTGTGGAATTGGAATGAATATGCCCAAACTGTCACACAGAAAGAGGTGCTGCCACACAGAAAGAGGTGCTGTGTTAGTTTGGCTTGGGACACAGTTTTTACTATGATATTTAGATATACCTGCTTATACATATAAATATTTTAGCTACAGAACTATTTAAGCAGATCATTAATAATTTTTTCATACAAAGGATATTTCAACATAATTCCCTGAGCAGATAATATCCAGTAAAAGACAAAACTATACCTTCTTTGAAGCATTCAATCAAAACATCTAAGAATCTCAAAT